TGTGGCTACACACTCCCCACCACTAGTCACACAGGCACAACAGGAAGAAGCCAGTGCAAACATCAGCTGTGCTGAGGGTGAAAACCTCTGACTGAGATGGAAGAGGCTGTCTGAATGACCTAGAAAAGAGTGGATAGGTAGGTGCAAGACAGGTTTAAAAGGTAAACAACAGGACTCCATGACTGACTGGACACCAGGAGTCAAAGGGCAAAAGAAAGCACGGGGATGAGCTTCAAGTTTTACCAAGAGCTTCTCCTTTGCCAGAGGGCCAAACCAAACTTAGTCTGGAATGCTTTTGCTCTTATAGACAGGTAGGTAGGTCAGGGTGGGAAACTGAGGGTCGGAGCGTTTCTTGAACTGAAGTATGGCACCCATGCCAGGCCTACTACCAAGAGATGTGGCCTCAGGCAAGTAAAAGGTATCTTCCTAGACCACTGCTGTTGATGTCAGTTTTAAAATCTTGTCCTGGTTTTTAAATGTTTAGACAATGATCCAAAGGGTAGGGATTAATTCACCAGCATGTATGAGGCTCCAGACCCCATTACCAACACTGCACAGAGGAAAAAGAATTCACAAAGAAAGACGGGGGATGTAGCTCAGTGGAGGATACTTACTTAGTATGTGTGAGACTCTGGGTTCCTGAGACTGTTCAGTGGGTGAGACTGTGGGATGTGGGTTTTACCTCATTTTCCAAGGATTCCTAGCACACTGAGGTCCCCCAAAACACTAATAATACTTTAACCAGAGTAAACCACCTGATTCCGTTCAGCTAAGCCCAGGTTTTCAGGTGTTGTCAAAAACTGAATCTTAAGACTCTATGAAGAATGCCATACTATTTAGGAAGCAATTTTATTGTGTGCTTCAGTTTACAATGGAGAAACAAACACTAGGATTTAAAAAAATATAAAATTAAAGTTTTGTATCGGAGAGTTTCCAGGCAACCCAAATCCTTCTGCCTCTGGCAAAGAATAAACAGAACCTAGGAGGGACAGAAAGTTGGCCCAATGAAATACACAAGTCCTTAAACAGTTCCCAGTAGGAGGGGTTACAGCTGACACAGGAATTACTGACTCTCTCAGCAAAGGCCATGGGGGTTAACTTGGGGACAAGAGGAGCAAGCTTCCCTAAGACCTGGGCTGAGGCTGGCTAATGGCTGAAGTCAGGGAAGGCAACCAGGGCAGTTTTTGGATCAGGACATCCTTGGCTGTCCCCAAGCCTGGCACAGAGTTCCACGTAAGTCCTGAGCAGGGCTCCAACTCCAGGATGGAGATTTCTGTCTCTCAAAATCAACATCTTGTTCCTAAGCATAACACCCTTGATTCTCTGCCCCACTTACCCAACAGAGCCTCCAAACGCATCCACAATTTTGATGCAAGTATCATATTTTTGATTCGAAGGGAGTTTGCCCAAACATCCCAGAAAGAAAACAGAAAGGCAAGAAGAAATAATAAACTATCTCAACAATGAATGATGTATGAACTCAGAAGGAGTGAATGACTTATTTATAAATAAGCGCCACTTGTAAAACGACACAGGAAACCCAGATGACAGCATAAACAAGAGACACTGGGGAAAGCCTTTACCCCAAGCCTGGCGCCTGACTGAAAAAGCAAGCTCAACCCTCTGTTTGGGTGAGCTGCAAGCTCACACCAGTCTTTTGTGCGCCTGTGCGGTCCTCTGTGAGCCTTGGAGCTGTAAATATTTGCCCTTCGCCCAGAGCTGGCCAGCTGTGGAGACTGCAGCTGACAGACAGTCCAGAAGCCAGCAAGGGGGTGAAGGGTGGAAACTTGCAAGCCCTGAGTGCAGGCATGGAAGAAAGAGCAGGGGAGGGGAGGGGAACAGAGCAGACGCAGGTCCCTGGGGCCCCCTTGGGCAAATATGCTCCCCTCTCTGCCAGGCCATCTGGAGCAGGCAGCCAGTGGCAGCAGCAGGGTCTACACCCCATCCCAGGAAGCAGAAGGACCCAGCTGTTGAAAATGTGGCACTCTTGCTTGAAGGCAAACCAGCAGTTCTCAAGTGGGGGGATCGAGTCTCCTAGAGGACACTTGACAGTATCTGGAGGCAGTTTAGAGGTGTTGGGGTTTGGCACCTGGAGGTTATAGCCAGTGATACTGTTCAGTGTTCTACAGAGTACCTGCCAACAGAGGTTCCCAGGACACTCCACCCCAACAGCAAAGAGTTTCCAAGCCTCCAAATACCAACACACACCTTGACTGAACCAAAGTCTAGTAAACCCTGTCTTCACTGGGAGGCAGAACCTGAGTCCACTCCTTTCTCGTGAGTACCACTACGGGGGTTTGATCCGGTTATATAATCCCCCACCCCCACCTGTCAGTTCCCTCATTTGTAAGGGTCGGATGAAGTGTGAAGTACGTCACCTCCCACGGTTGTTGGCCCTTAACAGAGTAACTGGTACCGGCAGTTATACAGAGACATAACCCAACGATGGAACCCAACGATGGCTAAGAACCGACCAGGGCAGCGGTTCTTAACCTTCCTAGTGCTGTGACCTTTGACCGTAACACACTTCCTCATGTTATGGTGACCCCCAACCATAAAATTATCTCGTTGCTACTTCATAACTGTAATTTTGCTACTGTTAGAACGGTAATGTAAATATCCATTAGGCAGGCTATCTAACAGGTGACCCAAATGGGATCGCAAACCACAGCATGAGGAGCACTGGACTAGAGACACGTGGTCAAAACCCACTTTTGAACTTTAAAGCCCTGACCTAAGTATAAGATTGCTCCTCCAGGAGGCTTAGCTTCCCATCTACAGAATGGCAAACACTGTCCCTAGGTTCCTTGCTGGGGGGTGGAGGAGTAAGAAGAAAGACATGAAATGGCTTGGAAGAGCTGAGGAGGTAAACCCTGGGGTGTGGAGGCTGACATAATTACCCTGGTCAGCAGTGCCTAGGAAGGCACAGGAGTGATTTACCATAATTGCAGGTACTCTCAGAAAGGCACCGCGCCAGGCCATTTCCTTCATTCTCACCTTGATGGGAACAGCATCCTTTTTCACTGGAGGTAAACTGAGGCACCTGTAGAGGTTAAGCCTAGCTGGCTACCGCAAGGTAGAGATCTGAAATCATTTCTAATTCCAGAAGGCTGGCTCCTAATTGTCACTCTCTAGTTTCCGGGGTAAGGGGGACTTTGGCTTCTTTCTGGATTGCCCAAAAGAATACTCCAAGGGTGCCTGTCTGCCTGTGTTTTCCTGCTTTAAGTCTTTAGAAAGCATAGTTTCCAACTTCAGAGGGGTTAAGCTGTGTGCTCAAGGTCAGCCAGTGAGTTGGCAGGAAGGCACACGTTTGAATCCAGCCTTACACTGGGGCCTCTCTCCTGGCATCCTTTCCAAGCTGCCTCACAAGGGCTCTGGGCTCCCCTCATTATTTCTGGAGTCGCGGCAAATCCATGGATCCAGGTCACCGTGCACTGACACATCCACAAGGACCATGGCTCAGATCTTATGACAGGATGAACAGCTTCCCCGGCATCACCAGGGGCAAAGCCCTTCAACACGACTGTGACTCTGGAGCCAAGTTCTCCCTTTCCTTTTCTACACTTGGTTGTAGGTTCCTTTTGGTGTTTGCAGACAACTCTCCATCCCCCACCCCCACTCCGCCCTAACTGCTGTAGCTCCACCTGGCCCTCTATGCCCTGCCTGTTGGGACCAGACTTTCTCAGTTCAGATAAGTAACTTCTCGAGGAGTGACGCAGCTGGCAAACACAGCCAAGACGGGGGAGAGGGGGGGTGAGAGGTCAGAGATGCACCCAGGAAGATCCTAGCATCCCTATACTCAAAGGACCAGGGCGCGCGGCTCTGGGTCAGCTAAGGCGCCTGCCTAAGCAGGAGGGGAGGCCACAGCCAGAGATTGCCTACCTTGCCGCCGGGCGGCGCGGCCACGCAGCGGCTGAGCGAGTCGAGGCGCGCGCTGTACTCGGTGAACTTCTTCTGGTAGCGCAGGGCGGTCATCTGCAGTTCGAGCTGCGCGGCGGCCAGCTGCGCCACCAGCGACTTCTCGCGCTTGCCGGCCCGCAGCGCCTCCTTCTTGAGCGCCTTGTGCAGCGCGCCCAGGCGGGCCTGCAGGGCGCCGTTGTGAGCCCGCAGAGCCCGCGCGCAGCAGTGGCCGCCCGCGCGCTGCTCGCCGTGCGTCAGCGGCAGCCCGCAGCCCTCCTGGCAGCGGCCCACGGGCCGCGCGTCGCACGCGTCGCGCATGTGGGCCTCCACGTCGCGTCGCAGCAACAGCTGGCCGCAGCCCGCGTGGCGGCAGCGCGCGGGCGCGAAGTCGCAGCGCTCCAGGTGCTCGGGCAGCTCCTGCAGCTTGACCACCCGGCCGCAGCCCCGCGCCGCGTGCGCGCACTTGATGTCCAACTTGAGGATGAGGCGCTTAAGCGGCAGGACGTGGTTGAGCTCCTTGGCCGAGAGGCGACCGCGACAACGCGCCGGGCAGCTGCCCTCCTGCACTACCCAGGGCAGCACGCAGCCGGCGCAGAATACGTGGCCGCACGGGGTGGTCAGCGGGTCCTCCAGGACCTTGTGACACAGCGCGCACTTCAGATCGGGGTCCACGTCGCCGTCGAAGCGGTCCAACTCGAAACCCATGGTGGCGGCCGGGGCCCGGTGTCTCCGCCGGGCGACCGGCCGCCCCCTCCCTGCCTCCCTGCGAGGCGGCCCAGACACGCCGGCTACGCCGCCCGCTCTCCAGCTAGCTCTCCCAGGACTGAGCCTAATTGCTCCAGACTTCCTCGGAAAATGCCCGAGGAACAGGACTCCTCCGGCCGTATTGGCTCGAGCGCGAGCGCACTAACATTCTGCCCCAGCGGCCTTGCGACCCTCACTCTGCCAAAGCGAGTGAGGGAGCGAGGCGGAAGAGACTTAGGCGACCACGAAGCAAGGAGACCTGCCAGAGACCGCGAGATGGACCCCCCTCTTAGGGGTCTCCTCTTCGCTGTCTCTGAGGCTTCGCTAAAGAACAAAATACTCCAGCAGAGAGCACCTCGCTCGGTTTGGAGCTGCATCTGTGGCTTTCGCCCAGAGAAGTTTCCTGCAACTCATCGGGACGTTTCACTCCTTTCTCGTGTCTGCTTTTAAGAGCGAAAAATATCTAAGACCCCGCTATCTCTGTATTTACGGTCTTTATTTATTTATTTTATTTTTCTTGGGGGAAAGTTACAGGCGCTGCAGGATGCTCCTGCTTGAAACTTCGGTGGCTACTAGAGGATCTGGGCAGAGTTCATCAGCCAGCCGGAGGTTTCTAGGACCAGAAGGCAAAACTGCAGGAATTGACCCTCCCCTCCAGCTGTCTGGGTGGGAGAGGCCAGAGTGCTTGGCTGGGTCCACTTCTCTTAACACCTCTGAAAAGAGGGCACTACAGTATGGCATGCGTTTTGCCGGGCGCTTCTAAATCCGTCCCTTTAAAAAAACCAGGAGGCAGTGTTGTGAGAGAGCACATTAGCTGCACTTGAAAACTATTTGCCCCGATTACGAAAGCCTTGACTCTGGCAGTGGGAGAGCTGGGGGAGCTTAGAACTTCAAGTCCCTGTAACAACGCCCACCCAGTCATCTAGCTTGTTTTTGTTGTTTTGTTTTTCTTAACTGCATTTTTTTTTGTTGCTGTTTTATCTCCATCTTCCCAACGGAGAAGTTCAAAGAACTGCTGCCGGCGAGCTCTTCTGAGAATTTTGTGTTGTTTCAGATTGTGAGCCAGTCGTACACATGGAGCCTGAGTGTCCATGTTGAAAGAACCTACCAGCCACGCAGAAGCTACTGGTCTATGGACACCCTGCATTTCAACTTGATTGAAAAACCCTAGCCATCCTCGGACGGCTCTAAACGTTTCTCTTTTAAACCGGGGAAGCTTCTCAAACAGAGTTTGCAAGTCTGACATTGTAATCTGCGGAAACACCACTTTTGGGATTCCAGCCCAAGTGGGAAAGTGCATAACATCACCCATGAATTTTGTAGGTTTCTTTTCTTTCTTCCTTCCTTCCTTCCTTTCTTGTTCTCTCTCTTCCCTTCCTTCCTTCTTTCTTCCTTCCTTCCTTCCTTCCTTTCTTTATTTCTTCCTTTCTAATCTCCCAAGGCTATAGACATTCCTAAGAAACACACAGTCAGTCCTGGTGAGAGTGAAGTCAAGTTCTGGAATTCTCATTCAGAATCTGCTGCCAGATTCTCAGGAGAATCTGGAAACAGAAAGCTAAGAGTTTTGTGTTTGGTGTGGACCCAAGAATATGGGATTCCAGTATTCCTTTTGTCTAATTACTTTTACTTCTGTCCCTTCCAGAGCTGCTGAAGACCCATGACCTTCACTATTGAACTGCTTCATTGGAGGGAAAGAATTGCCTTGATGTCTGTAAGGATTAGTGTTCTCAACTGGCCTCTGCAAAGCTGTTGCTAGCCAGATTGTTCAGTGCATGGTTGAGGTCCCCCAGTGGTGTTCTTTAATCCTTCCTGGTGGCATTTGGTGTCTACTTGTGATAGTTTCGTGCCATTGCTTTAATCAATTAATGCATTTCTTTTCTAGCATTCTGAATGATGTGAAATATTCATGACCTCTGCCCCAATAAGCAGCAGCAGGGAAAATCCTCCACTGGTACATTTGTTAAGCTCCTTGTGGGCTCTCACATAATGGTTTAGAAGCAGATTCTTCCAGCCAAGGTGTGTGGGCTTGTCAGTTTCATAGACAAGCTAGTGTCAACAGGGTGATAATCTTCAAACCAAACTGGTTTTGAGGAGCAGGGAAAACTCCACAATACACCATAAATGGTAAATTAGCACTTATCTGAGAGGTACACTTCAGTTCAGAGCAGTCCCTCCACCCATCAGTCTTTGGCCCTTCATGACAGGCTTGGGGGTGGAGGCTGAGAGGAAGAGACACAGCTGAGGCCACAGAGAATCTGTCCCCTATTGTCATTCTGCCCCTTCAGGCAAAATCAAAGTCTTCAGAAAGTCTCTCCTCATTAGTTAACTTTAGTATTAAAATTCTTGGAGGTCAGCAAAAACCAAGCCAAAAAACCCTCCTGGAATGTGAGAGCTGAGGGAAGGGGCATGCATATTGTGGATGGGTTGAAGAGACAGGAGAAACAAGAGACAAAACTGTTGAGAAAAAAAAGAAATCGGAGTATCATCAGTGTTTGTTTTTTATTTTGTTTTCACTAGTGACACATTCGGGTGGGACCACACTTTGTTGTGGGGCTGCCCTCGCATTCTGGGACAGTTAGCAACATCTCTTGGTGATGCCCACAGATGCAGTGGCAAAGCACCACTCTAATCCACCATGTGTGAATGAATCTTGAGGAAAAACTGAGAACCACCACAGTGTTGGAGGGCAGGCTTCTCTTCATTCTACAGCTGGACACTAGCAGAAGCCGCACTCCCAGCTGGCTGAAGAATCACGTGGTATAAGCAACACAGTGAGAGGAGACTACTACACTGAACGGTGGAGACTTCATGCTAGCAAACATGCAGCCCAACTACCAGAAGAGGAATACTAGACGTGGCAGGCCTCCTGACCTGGATCAAGCACTCGCTCAACTGTCTCAGAAGCATCTGAGTGTTGAAATATGGACAATACTAGACAGATAGATTGGTTAGTTTGCAAATCTTTATAGTCTTCACAATCTCTACCATCACCTTTCTTTTTATAACCTTGTTCTGGGCTTTCTCCCATCCAAATCCTAACCAGGTTTGACCCTGCATGGCTTCTGAAATCAGGCATTCAGGGTGGTACAACCTAACTGGCCTCATTTCATATTCCCATTCTCAAGTCAGACAATGGGATAGTTTGTATCATAAGGAATGGAGGTAGAGAAGAGTGTGTGTGTGTGTGTGTGTGTGTGTGTGTGTGTGTGTTTGGGTAGGGGGGAACAAGGTAAGAGACATCAAGAGTGAGATTTACAATTTCAAGGGTTCCCCAATAAAAAAATGTATCATAGGTTATATGGGTAGTATCAGGCCTAAAAACAAAACTCAGAATCTCAGGAGCCATTAATAAAGAGGAAAATTTCTATTTGGAAAATGAAATTTTTTTCCAGCCTACCTTCTAGTATTACCACCCAATATCTTTTCCTCACAAACAACAACAACAAAACCAAAAACCACCTCTTAAAAGCCCTACAGCTCAAGTCTATGATCTAGGAACTTCTTTTAATTTTTCTCTTGGCACTTTCTCCTCCACTCTCATTTACTCAGTCTGTAAAATTATGATAATGTTAATCATTGCTTACCTAGCATACGGTAATAATTGCTAATTAACTAATTTTTATATGTAGAAACCTGTGAAGACATTACACAGGTGCTAGGCATTATTATTGTCTGGTGGTGATGAGGAACGCTGTCCTGTTTGAGGGAGGCTGGTTATAGTGTCTGCTTACTCTCCATGGGAATGGAAGCTTATGAGCCCATCCCATGCATCATCTCCTTACCAGTTAGTTTGACAAGCAAAATCCTGAAGTGAGATGGTACTTGTCTAAGAGCCTGCCACAACTAGTGTTGTGGCCAGTGTTTTGACAATTGGGAACTCTGGGGCAGAAAGTCATTTGCTCTGGCATGGGCATCTGCAGGGAGTCTAAGCATCAAGGATACAAAGTTGCAGCTCTCTAAAGGGTCACCTGTTCTTTGGGTATAGCACATAATCACCATAATTTAAATGCTGTTTCAGGCCTGGGAGAAGATGCACTTGGAAAATGTAAAGTGCTTGCTATAACTGAGGCTCTGAGTTCAGCTCCCCAGTACCCAAGTGCTATCCCAGTGTTAGGGAGGTGAAGACAGACAGACCCCTGGGTTCACTGGTCAGCAAGTCTAGCCAAATTAGTGAGCTCCAGGTTCGATGAGAAACACTGTCTCAAAATAAAAAAGCATAAATAAATTGAAGTGTGGTTGTGGAAGACATGCAGTGTCAATCTCTTTACATGCACCCACGTCCTCAGAAAAAGGCTTACCATTTGCTTTATTTCTTTGTGATTTTTAAATATCATTTTTTTACAAGAGAATATCTATTCTTATGGGATGGCTTTGGGCAAATGATTTTTGAGTCATCAGCCAACCAAGAAAACTGTGACATCAGTGTTCTTTGAAATATTGTCCTGAAACTGTTGTTTCAATCCCCAGATCAAATGGACGCTCTTGATTTAAAAAATCAAAACAAAACATTCACGAGATTAGTTCTCGAACAGCATGCCATTTCTAAGGATAATCGTTTGTTATATTTCAGCAAACAAAAGCCACTTTAACCATTCATTCTCTTTCCACTGTTGCACAAGTATAGACATGAAATGTTTCCCAAGGTTGGCTAGGAACTTTGGGAGACAGGGACAGAAAAGTAATGGTGGAAAAACTTCCTCCATGGGCATGTTATTCTATCCAGGTAAAATGGAAAATGTGTCCAAGTGCTGGCATACACTGCATGATGTTGGCAAAAGCACACTCCATTTTGACAGAATATAAAGAGACTTAGAAGTGGAATCCAGAAAGATGAAAGGGCTTGGAGGACAGTGACTCAGTCTGTCATTGGTGGGAATCTTTGTAGTAACTTATAATTTATCTGCGGGTTATGTAAGCTCAAAGATGAAGATAAAGCTGGTGCTGGAGCACTCACACTGACTCTCCAGCCCTGAACTACAAAGTTTCGAAGACTTCTTTAAGCTGTGGAGGATAGGAGAAAATGTGTTTCTCGCTTTTCAATATGCTTTTTGTTTTTATCTTTATTTATTATTTCTTGGAGGAGCTAAAACTGACTAAACATGGCACAAACCCCTAGGTATGTAAAAGAAACAGGATACTAACAATACAACTCCTAAGGCTAGGAGAATCCCATGTGCTTTCTGGGAAGAATCAAAGGAAGACACACATCTCAGAGTTCAGTTGGAAATGGTGCATTTCTTTCTGTGGATAGGGTCCTGACATTGTTTTTTTGGGACTTGATTAAAAAGTATTGATTTCGTGCATTGATATAAAAATTTAGAAATGAGAAAAATATACAGCATTTGTCTTCCTGTAATTGGCTTAGTTCACTCAATATGATTATCTCCAGTTGCACCCATGACTTCCTACAAATGACATAACTTTGTTCATTAAGTGATATATATGTATGTGGGGTATGTATTTCTGTGAGTGAGTGTGTGTGTGTGTGTGTGAGAGAGAGAGAGAGAGAGAGAGGGGGAGAGAGAGAGAGAGAGAGAGAGAGAGAGAGAGAGAACGAGAAATAAAAATATTTGGGATAAGAAAGAGGACCAATGGGAAAAGAGAGAAGTGAAAGAAGGGAAGAAGAGTGAAAAACTTGAAAAACGTATTGAACTAAAACCATAATATATATTAATTTCATAGCTAAGCTAATTACAATCATGAATAACAGTCATCTACACAGTAGAAACAACTTCAAGAAAGAAACAATACATAGGGTTGTATTCTCAGCAGGGACTGGCAACAACTTTCCATAAAGATGCAGCCAGTAAATACTTTTGGTTTTGTGAGCCATGCAGGGTCTATCAAGGAGTACTCAATGCCAAGGAGGCTGGAGCCAATATGTAAATGAATGGGTGTAGGTATGTGCCAATAAAACTTTATTTTCTAAAAGTCTGGATTTGGCCCACAGGTATTGGTTTGCCAAAAGCTGTTATAGATGAACACATTGTTTTTTTTGGCAAGCAGAAAACCAGCTGAATTTTTGACGTTAAGGCTATCATCATGAAAAAGAGCTATAAAGTTCTTATTTGAAACAAAAATAGATAATGCCCTCGTAGGTAAAGTCCTTGCAGAGGAGTCTGATTATCTGAGTTTGATCTCCAAACCCTAGGTAAAGGTGTAAAGAAAGAACTGACCCCACAAAGTCCAAATCATACAATCACATACACATAACCATTCAAATTATAGGAAAAAAAACAACTACTCATAGAGTATTATGTGCTTGTGAGCCATGAAAGCCTGCATCAAATGCTTGTTCTCTCAATTACCGCTGACACAGTCTTGAAAGTCACTTATTTCATTCAGAATTCCTCACTGGTACCTGGAGTTATTCTTTATTGTTACTCGTACTTGCTTCCAGGAGTGAATGTAGGTTGGTTGCATGCTGTAAGATTTAAATGAGGACACATACATGAAGTATTTGGCACACTAGCAGAACTTGTTGCGATAAATAATGTTAGGAATGAATGAATGACTCTAAAGAGAGTATGGCAGAGACCAACATTTGCTTGTGCTTCTAAAATAAGTGCCCACAAACCCAGCCCAAGCTCCAGAGGCCCAGAACTGTAGATGATCTGAAAATACATAAAGAAGATAGGTATGGAGAAGTTCCAAAAGCACTTTTTGGACAAACTTAAGCAAAAACAAGTCAGAGAACAAAAGGTAAGAAGTGGTTATAATCTGTGCTCATCATGAGTCACCTCCCTCCTGGAGTTATTTATTGTTTAGAGAATGGGCCAGCTAGTCACCATAGTGACTTTGACAACATGTAAACAACCAAAGACAGACAACAAAGAACGCACTGTCTTTTCTCTTTAGGAAAAAATGGTGCCAACAGTTTTTCAGGCAATTCCTTGAAAGTGCATGATTGGACAGCACGTCTTTAAGGCCAAACGTGCCCAACACATTAAATGCAAAAGGAACGTTGCAAAATCTTCATCACTGAGACTACCAGTTAAGACACTGTCATTACTAGAAACTGGGCTTTAAACTAACAGAAGAAAGACTTGTCCAGCCTTTGTTCACTGGCTCCAGGGATAGCAACTGGAGAATCCTTCTTGGAGAAAGTTGAAAGCTCACATCTTGTTCTCTGCATCCCTAAGACTGAACATCAACCCTGGCATCTGGAAGGTGCTCAATACCTGCCTGTGGGCACTTTTGGCCGAAGGAAGAGAAGATGCCGGCTGGGGCAACTTTCTCAGGCTTCCAGGGACACAGACTCACAGCTCTAGAGCATTCTGTTACTCAAAGCCCTTTCACAGCACTGCGGGGCATATTGGAGACAGTCCCCGATTGCATCACATTATATACTCCACTTGGCATAATTACACCATGGGCTTTTGTCTCCCTTGGTGCCAGCCAGTCTCAAAATACATGCTGCTTCCTCAGTATGCTTCTGTTGAGCACTGAGGTTGCCCACTCATTACAACTGGAGCTTGCAAATGCTGCCTCTATCTCGAGTCACTTAAGCTCTGGGTCCCACACTTCCAAGAAACAGATGGCTTTTCATGAAGAATGGTGATGTTTCCTTGTGCTGAAGACCAGAAAGAGAAGGAGACATAGAAAACAGTGCAGGCTAACTCATGGTCACAATGGTGACACAAGTGTATTCTATTATTTTGTTTATATTTTTATCACTATTAATAACTAACACTGCTTTTCCTAAGCTCCTGAAATAAGTTTAATCTGTAGCACGCCTACTCTATCCATTCTGCCTTCTAAACTTCCCCTCTGTTCATTGGCTTCATTTCCTTCCCACCATGTTTATTCAAGCTGCTCTCTCCTTCACCAACAATATGGCATTTTGTTTTACAAAAAGTTTCCCCAGACTGCTACATCCTAACCTGGCCATTCCATTTTCCTCTGCATATTGATGTAATAGAAATCTTCTCAAAAAACAATGAAATGCTGGTCCCAGCACTAAAAACTACAAATGGGTTCATGTTTGTAGCAGAAAAGTTGTAGCTACACATGTCACTTCAAGGGCTGGAAGTAATCTCACTCCTGCGTTGCCAGCATCATCCAGTGTTTCTAGCTCATCTCCTGCTTCCACATTCTGGTGATTGAAGATGCTGATACTCATCCCTTAATAGCCGCACTTCCCTGCTTTAAAGTATGATGATGAGGCCAGGTGTGGGAGCAAATGCCTGTAACCCCCGCACTTGGGAGACAGAGGCATGCAGATTCCTCGAACATTCAGAGTACCTTGGGCTATGAACTCTGCGGATATCCTGGACTACATGGTAAATTGTGGGCCGGAGAAATCTGTACGGCAAGATCATACCTTGAAAATCAGATAAATTTTCAAAAATGAGTTTTCGATAGCTATGATACCTAGCTCCAAGCCACATGTCCATCTTTTCTGAGTTGTGGCCAATAGGACACACACAGATGTGATGGATACAAACAACTCCTGTGTTATCTCTTAAAAGTAAGCAGACTTCCTCTGTATTTACACTGTCTTCCATGCAGACCAAACCCCTTTTGCCAGTCAGGGTCCCGACAGCAGCCTGTGGACCCAGACCAGTCCACTCTCTGTTTACATGAGTGGAGCATTCTTTCTTTACCCCAGCTCCATCATGGCTACTGTTACCGAATCCTGTTTTAAACTTGAGAATATACAGTGAACTCCCTATGCCCAACTAGCAAAGCCATGTTGGAAAATTCTTCTACCCCCTGTCCTTGTTGAATGTTTTGCATGGGTGAGGCAGGGGCATGGATATCAAGATTCAGGGGCAGAGGTTCATATGGCTACAGAGCTGGTCTCGTCGGCTGAATGAGCCATTTGGGGGTTCCACATAGAAAATAGGCCTGTCTTGCTTAGACTGTCCTCTTTACTCAGTTGTCTGTGCAGAATTGGTCAACTTTTGCCTTATTTGGATCTGATGTCCAATAATTCTTGCTTTAAGGGCTGGGGCGTGTGCCATAGGTAAATCAGCAGCCTCTATTATGCCTAGTCACTTGGTGCCAATAGCATTCATCTCTTAATGTGTCAACTAGAATGTTTGGCTGCAAAATGTTCCCTGGTTCAACATCATCTCCTCTTGAGAACTTCTATATTAATAGCAATTTAACCAGCCATACAAGATGGCTTCTTCCTTTTACCTACCAGAACTGGGCTAGGCACTCACACTTGCCCACTGGTGTGTGTGTGTGTGTGTGTGTGTGTGTGTGTGTGTGCGCATACCAAGTATGTACATGTTTT